TAAAAGAACAAACACTGGAGCAATAAAAATAGCACATCGTGGCAACAAGATTGATATAAACCCACAATCAGAAAATGGCTACTTGCTCTTGGCTAAAATAGAAATAACAAAGAAACAAGCTTGCCCCACGTCCATACGATTAAAGAGAACAGAACCATTGCTTAACAACCTGGAGAAAATAACTCACAACTCCATGCTTTCAAACATATACTTCTGAGCATAACAACTGCTAGACCAAGGCAAGCATTAGCTAGAGCAAAAAAAGCACACCTATCCCAACCCCAACTATGCTTGGTTGCCACCATCCATTGGACGGCTGCCCATCCGTCCACGGCCGCGGCCACGGCCATAGCCATACCCATAGCCTCTGCCTCCACCTCTGCCTCTTCCATATCCAGCGCCTGACAAATATGCAGAAGATAACATTCATACAAGTTTGCACCAGCTTAAAAACAACTTTTACTGACAAAGAATGTGTCGCACAAAGTTAACTTCTCTCAATACGTGAGGAATATACATACACATATTCTATAATGAACCATTCNAGAGAATGTGTTGCACAAAGTTAACTTCTCTCAATACGTGAGGAATATACATACACATATTCTAAAATGAACCATTCATTATATCGAAAATAGAAGAGAAAACTAGTGCATTCCAAAATTTAATCAACTTCTCGGAAACCCTTTAAGTAATCAGATAAGAAAAGCACTAACCACGATAGCCCCAACCGTTGCCACGCTCACCAGCTCGGCCCCAGTTTGAATACCCACCATTTTCTATCAGAATAGACATTCAAGGTAAATGCAATGGAACTGAAATAATTTGATGGTTTGCATGGCAAAATGCAATGCTAAGAACTAATACCTTGATAGTTTCCATATCCACCCCTGCTCCATCCCCGCCCTCTCCCTCTACCACGGCCTCGTCCACGACCATAAGAATCTAAACGAGCAAAGTCGATATGTTTCAGTATCAATAGCATGATAGTTCAACATTAATTTCCAATCCCAATCGTCTTAGCTGGCATCACCTTCATTACCGGCATTGTAGGTTGCACGAGCTGGTCTAGGTTGTTGCTGTAACTGATTTTGTTGTTGGTGATAGTCATATTGTGGCCTTGCTTGCTCCACAGAAGAAGATGGACCTTGGTAACTGTGGACATAAATTTCCCTTCAGTGTCAGAAAGAACATGCCAGAAAAGAGTCATGCTAAGCGCACCAAAAATGTGCACCAAATGATTGTCAGCCTTTGGATGATAGTGGGGTCCCACTGATCCAAAGGCTGATAATGATTTGGTGCACATAGAATTACTCGCCAAAAAAGGCCAAATCAAAGAGCCAGAAGATACAGGAATTGAATTGCAATAAAATATCAAGAACTTTTATATTTACAAAAAGGCAAAGAAAACCATGAGATAGGCTAACGATGCTAAGTGAATCATGGTTGGCCAGGACAACAAGAAACGATAATGAATATTATTAAGTAGGCATTTTCAAATTTGCCAAAGGCAACTTTTTCAGCATCAAACCTAATAATGTTTCAGTACTTGAAATCTACTCTCATTATGGGCTACATAACAGCATTTAAAATACAATTGACTAAGATTTACCCTGCAGAATTCTTGTTCAGCTCCTTAATAGACAGCGTGATCGAAATCATTGAGACATGGCGAGTCTGCTCCACACTGTATTTTAACATTAACGTCCCAGTATCAGAAACACATATCCAATATTCTGTAAGGGAAGACGGAGAGTAGAAACCACCCTCTCTCCTTCCTTCCTCGCTCCCCCATTGTGTGTAAATAAGTGTATGCATGTGTGTGCCCATCCTTATATTAAGGTAAAGAAGTCTAGAAACTTACGGCAAAAGACCCTCTTCAATGGGTTCCCATACATCAGTTATGCTCACTGAACTGATGGCCGTATCTTGATGCAATCGTGGCATCCTCCTCTGTTGGCAAGTTAAAAAAACTGAACTACTTGTACATATGAAAAACCAATAACAGAGGGGAAAAAAATGGCAGTGAACAGAAGATCATCTAAAACAAGATTAACCAACCTTGATAATTTCTGCAATTGCGACCGTCTTGCTTATTGCCTGCCCCATTGCTTTCAAGACAATTTCTCTCCCATGTCTCTCCTGAAAGAAGAATTGTAAATTATAATATCCAGAAAAAAATCATTGCTTATAAACGAGAAAAAAACATACAACCAACACAGATGCATAAGATGTTTGAATGAAACAAACACGTGCACTCAATGCTAGGCTTTGCAATCAGGTTGGTGGGATAAATAAGTTAGACCTTAGAATAACCATTCAATTGGCTTGACCCCTCTGATGGTTCATCTTTTATGAACCATGACATGCCAATATTTTCAAAGAAACAAAAGCAAATAAACTCATACACAAAGAAANCTAGAAAAAAACATACAACCAGCACAGATGCATAAGATGTTTGAATGAAACAAACACGTGCACTCAATGCTAGGCTTTGCAATCAGGTTGGTGGGGTAAATAAGTTAGAACTTAGAATAACCATTCAATTGGCTTGACCCCTGTGATGGTTCATCTTTTATGAACCATGACATGCCAATATTTTCAAAGAAACAAAAGCAAATAAACTCATACACAAAGAAACACTAGCGAGTTGCGATACATCCATGATAGAGATTATAACCTCTTTGTCACGCATGCCAGTTTGCCATGCAAAAATGCAGGCTTACGATCAACAGCAGGAAAAACCCAACAAAAATGTATTCCAGACTTGCGTGCTGAACATTATGTGAAAAGTTACATGACCATTGTTTATGAGAAGATACAGTAAGTCAGTAACCACTTTCCAAGTCACCCTCTTAACAACTTNTAGCGAGTTGCGATACATCCATGATAGAGGTTATAACCTCTTTGTCACTCATGCCAGTTTGCCATGCAAAAATGCAGGCTTACGATCAACAGCAGGAAAAACCCAACAAAAATGTATTCCAGACTTGCGTGCTGAACATTATGTGAAAAGTTACATGACCATTGTTTATGAGAAGATACAGTAAGTCAGTAACCACTTTCCAAGTCACCCTCTTAACAACTTTAAGCCATCCTATATAGCAACATGAGAAACTAATAAACATCATGTGCCAATCCCCAACCGGTTTAAAAAAAAATTGAGCAACAAAAGTTAAAACAGTTTGCCTGACAAAACCAGCAAAATTTTCAGACTGGCTAATTGATCTCATAAACTTTGGCATCTCAACACAAGCATTGCACACCTGAGTTCCAACATCAAACCTAATAAGGTTCCAACTCCATCCATGGCATTCCATGTACGAAATTAAGGTATTAAAAAAAAAGCCTTTTTATAAGGTCAGTCTATCATATCATAATCTATATATGCAGAGTTGCATAAGCAACCCAAGGGAAACAGGGGTAATCTGAAATAAATAGCAACTTAGTCAATTCAAAGAATACAAGGGGCATGTAAACTACAAAGGGTGTGGATGAAATTCTTCCACGAATATAAACAGGACAAATAGTTCCAAACCTTACAACTCCTAACAAAAACCATGAGTAAAAATAGAAGCATCACGGATAATTCCCATCAAAGATAGCCTATACCCTAAACCAAAAATCAAAACAAAACTCAACATAATCACATTATACTATAGTTTCAATCTTTGTCCTCGAATCATCCCATAAAGCAACCGAAGCTCCTAAGCGAAANACACAGTAAGTCAGTAACCACTTTCCAAGTCACCCTCTTAACAACTTTAAGCCATCTTATATAGCAACATGGGAAACTAATAAACATCATGTGCCAATCCCCAACCGGTTTAAAAAAAAATTGAGCAACAAAAGTTAAAACAGTTTGCCTGATAAAACCAGCAAAATTTTCAGACTGGCTAATTGATCTCATAAACTTTGGCATCTCAACACAAGCATTGCACACCTGAGTTCCAACATCAAACCTAATAAGGTTCCAACTCCATCCATGGCATTCCATGTACGAAATTAAGGTATTAAAAAAAAAGCCTTTTTATAAGGTCAGTCTATCATATCATAATCTATATATGCAGAGTAGCATAAGCAACCCAAGGGAAACAGGGGTAATCTGAAATAAATAGCAACTTAGTCAATTCAAAGAATACAAGGGGCATGTAAACTACAAAGGGTGTGGATGAAATTCTTCCACGAATATAAACAGGACAAATAGTTCCAAACCTTACAACTCCTAACAAAAACCATGAGTAAAAATAGAAGCATCACGGATAATTCCCATCAAAGATAGCCTATACCCTAAACCAAAAATCAAAACAAAACTCAACATAATCACATTACACTATAGTTTCAATCTTTGTCCTCGAATCATCCCATAAAGCAACCGAAGCTCCTAAGCGAAAAACAAAAAAACTATCACAGATATTAAACACAGTGAAAAAAATCTTGCAGCGTGCATTATAACGTCAACTAATGCCATAACTTATCCCATCAACTAATGAAAAACCAAGAAGGAAAATGCAATGAATGGCATCAAAATGACTACAAAACAAACCAACCAACCAAGTATTATATCCCAATCATTTGGGGTAGGCTATATAAGCCTGTCTTCGCCATTAATTTCGGTCATATGATATAGACTCATTTAAGTCAAATATTTTCATATTTTTTCTTATTATTTCGTTCAATGTTAATGTAGATCTACCTCTACTCTTAGTATTATTAATAAAAATTTTGTCACTTTTTTCTAACCGGTGCTTCTATCGCCTCATTGAACATAACCAAATCATCTCAATCTATTCTCCCTCAACTTATTTCAATTGGAGCTACTCTTACTATTTCTCTACTCCGCTCGTATTTTATCCGTTCTAGTTTTCGAGACATCCACCTTATGTTAAGGCATAAAAGAAAAACACAAACTGGACAGATTATAGCCACCAAAATTCGAATTAATCAATAGAAAAAAATCAAGATACAGCCCATGGAAGAAAACCAACCATACAACCCAATAAATCAAACGGAAGAGCAACACAACAGAAAGACGGGAGAGTAACATATTCATTGCGTGATGAAGAAAAAAAGAGAGTACCTGAAGGAGACTTGTGGCATAACTGATGTAGTTCCTAACCAAGCCCTGAGAAGTGATTCGGATCTCGTTCTCGTTAATGGGTGATTCAGGCTTTGGTTTCTCGACTTTCTGGTATCTATCCATGGCTTCAAAGCCCTAACACAAAGAGCGAGACAGAAGGAGCAGTAATGTGCAGAGAGAGAAAAGCCCTAAGGCTAAACCCTAATTGGAGTGAGTGGGTGAGGGGGAGAGAGAGAGAACCTCCACCTTCAGCAACGAGGTGTTTAATAACCACACAAATGGGTCGGCCTTTTAATGTACAATTACTGGGCTTATCATACGAAGCCCATTTTAATCGGACCGCCCATAGTATTTCTAAGGAAGAGAAGGACACGCGCGGCTACGTAAAGTTTGGTCCACGGAGGGTGAGGATAGAGAGTCACCATCTAACATGTTAATCATACCAAATCAATACAAAATTGTAAGGTTTNTGTACAATTACTGGGCTTATCATACGAAGCCCATTTTAATCGGACCGCCCATAGTATTTCTAAGGAAGAGAAAGACACGCGCGGCTACGTAAAGTTTGGTCCACGGAGGGTGAGGATAGAGAGTCACCATCTAACATGTTAATCATACCAAATCAATACAAAATTGTAAGGTTTGGTTAAATAAAGAATTTAGATTATAAATGAATAGACTTGTGACTCGTGAGAGTTGCTAAATAAAAAACATCTGATCACAAATTACACCAGTTGGACAAGATCATAAATGAATTGAAAAGATTTTGGTACAGGACGACAATATTTGCACCCTCTCCCTCCACAANAAAATTTAGATTATAAATGAATAGACTTGTGACTCGTGAGACTTGCTAAATAAAAAACATCTGATCACAAATTACACCAGTTGGACAAGATCATAACTGAATTGAAAAGATTTTGGTACAGGACGACAATATTTGCACCCTCTCCCTCCACAACAATGCCGACGAAAATAAGGTTTTCTACAATATCGTAAAAATCAGCTCAATCAAAAATCGGGATAAAAAATTATATCAAAAATACTAAGGGGAAAATTACTTTTTCTTCCAGGGGCAAATGACTTATTATACCAAACTTTCATTACAATTTCAACACTGTTAGAGATGGATTCAAGAATTTTGAGCAACTGCATCTAAAATATTTTAACATACTAGATTGCAGTTGGTAGTCCTTGATTTCAAAGATCCATGACAGCCCTACACCTAAGGAAACTGTGAGATCGTCTATAAAAAGGAACAGGGTGCATGCTCCTACCAGCAAAGAACAAGGAAAAACAATAGCCCAGTAAAAACCATTGTGTCTGAATTGAACATATTTGACACACTGATTGATAATTGCAACATAAGTTAACTACTGCAAGGCAAAATTTCATCAATGCCCTGCACAATTCCTTTTGGAATCAGAAGAGTTTGGGCAGATTCATCTCCATCCCTTATTGCACCTAGCAAACACGAAAAACATCCCTCTGAGAGGCAAGGGGATACATCAAATCTAGGATTGAACTCCAAAATACTGCAACAATTTTGTTATCATACACCTGACAAGCAAATCCAGCAGAAGGCGGTCACATAAATGAAAACAAAACTCAATTTTACACCTCCCATAGAAAGCATTATGGAAATCACACTCTGATAACTGAACTTTGATCTTCCCCATTATTTTCTGAAACAGCTATTGAAGTACATAAGACTATTCACAATAGACTATAATGATGAAGATCCCCCTGTGTATTACAGAAGCAAGGAGATTTTCGCAATGTATAAATACACAAGAGACAAATGGATCATCCATCATGTACAGCTGCCTCTAAGAGGGAGTATGGCGAGATGAAGGACCTCCAAATGGTGTCTAGCAGACCAATTGTTAACATCAAGAACACGAGATGCACATTATTTTCAGACATTCTTAGCTGATATAACAGATGATCCCACAACTGTCATCCAGTTGACGGCGAAACAAGCAGTGTAACATCCAATATTTCCAATCTGTTAATAAACAAGAAACCACTTTTTATTGTCTAACAGCAATAGCATCATCATTCAAGTGTATATTTAACAATGCAAATCTATCCTTAATGCATTTTTTTCCTACCCTTTTGCATAAGAACAGGGAAAGATAAACAGTTTGTCTTTAGTTTTCATCATTAAGAATTTAAGATAAACACAAAAAGAAGAAATTTAAGAATTGCAATGTTGTTATTGCCGGCATTGGAACAGCCAAATATAGCAGAAGTGGTTCAGAGATGCTCTTCTGAAGGACTTTGAGAACCAAAGAAGATTGGATAACTTCATGGTGGTTCCCGTTAATTCGGATCTTCAAAGCTGGTAATATAGCAAGCCGCTCAATGGTTGTCCGAGCTGAACAAAAGGCTTTAAAGTTTAGTATGATACCCTGGAGGCAACATCATTCTAAGCTTCCAACTATTCTTCAAGTTTTAAATGCTCATTTCTTGTATAGAACTTAGGATCTGCCTCACTTTAGGAATGATAGCAATCCAATCTTGCAGGGCCCAGCCTAGAGCCTCCCTGAGAAACTCTTAACTGCTAAGACATTCAGGTTATAATTCAAAGCCTTAGAATCCCTTTCTTTCTTTCTGATAAATCTATATGGTCCTNGATGCTCTTCTGAAGGACTTTGAGAACCAAAGAAGATTGGATAACTTCATGGTGGTTCACGTTAATTCGGATCTTCAAAGCTGGTAATATAGCAAGCCGCTCAATGGTTGTCCGAGCTGAACAAAAGGCTTTAAATTTTAGTATGATACCCTGGAGGCAACATCATTCTAAGTTTCCAACTATTCTTCAAGTTTTAAATGCTCATTTCTTGTATAGAACTTAGGATCTGCCTCACTTTAGGAATGATAGCAATCCAATCTTGCAGGGCCCAGCATAGAGCCTCCCTGAGAAACTCTTAACTGCTAAGACATTCAGGTTATAATTCAAAGCCTTAGAATCCCTTTCTTTCTTTCTGATAAATCTATATGGTCCTTTCAAGTGCCAGTTGGCTGGAATGGTTGTTTTCCCACATAAAAAAGGCCCTCAAATAAGCCAAGTATAGTAAATGTGATGAGATTTAATTGCTTTTCATAATTGAAAAACAAATATCCGTTTTCCATTAAGATTTTATCACTGTAATTAATAGGAAATGTGAAAAATTTTGTGGAAAAAAAAAATCTTTCAACTATGAGGCATTGGAGATATCATCTTAAGCATTAAGCAGGAAAAGGATTTGGCAGGCAAGTGAAAATTTGATTCAGAGGTCATAGACCACAGATAGCTGATAACTGTAACAATCCCCACAAATCTCCCCAGGCTACATTACTGTTGAACCTNTTAGCATTAAGCAGGAAAAGGATTTGGCAGGAAAGTGAAAATTTGATTCAGAGGTCATAGACCACAGATGGCTGATAACTGTAACAATCCCCACAAATCTCCCCAGGCTACATTACTGTTGAACCTCATCAAACACAATGTCCACATTTGCTGTTGTTATTACGGATTATTCAATTTACTAAATCCATTCATAACTGTAATGACAGTGATCCTCACACAGAGTATTAAACTCTGATAAAAGCATAAGTCCACCGAAACCCCATGATCCTTCAGGTAATATAATATTAAGTTATATTAATTCATCTGTAACGACAGTGATACAATAAGCCAAGTATAACATAAGATATCTTAAGTATGCACATGCTCAGCAGAAGTTAATTCTTGTATACAGTTCAGCATATCTAATCGTTCTCCTGTGATAATTGTTATTGAATTTACCAATTCCATGGAATTATGATGAATGCTAACTAAATTGTAGTGAGATGACTAAACAAAGATTAAAATAAGAAATGAAGAGACCATGCATACCATACGAAGAATATAAGTAGACCAGTCAATAGATAGCCTGCCCTGGACCAATTTCTTCCCCTTCACCCCCAAGAATATTTTCGAGCGAAATGGTTGAACAAAAACTGATGACCTTGTGGAATGGGTTTACGGGAACAGACAAATTGGGGACCCTCCTCCAGCTGCATTTACCTGACGCACTGGCAATCTCACAAACACATGCTGGGTAATTACTGTGATGCTCTTCATTAAACACATATACTAGATTGTCCAGTCCCACACATTTCAAGCTAGCAAACTTATCATCCTCATCACTATCGAACAAACAGTAAAGCAATCCCTGAGGCATTATCGCTATCTCAGTGTACTCCATTGTTTTCTCATCAATCTGCCACAAATTAAACGATGGTCCATGAGGGCCATTGCTCAATCCAGCCAAAATTAGGCGGTCCTGACACGAAATCAAGAACGAAAACGCCAGCCCCGGAGGCCTCAGTGTCTGGACATCACTCCAGAGATGTTTATTCAAATCAAACGAAGATATGAAACATGAATATATTCCGAAAACATAGAATTTCCCTCTAAATAATGCCGATGAAAGCCATTGTGATGAGCTTCCGGACCTAAAATCCGCCGGCAAAGGCGGACAAAGCTCCCAAGAATCGACATAAGGGTTATATATTTCCACAGCCAAACGATCCTCTATATCGACCAACCCTCCAATGAACCTGACACCACCAACCACAATAAACATAGGCACTTTAGACCCATCGTTGAACACACCCACAAGAGGATTACACCGAGAGAACCTAAGCGGCGAGGTTTCGCGCCAAGAACCCTTAAGAATCGGTGCGAAACTGAAGTTCTCGGAGGTGGCGGTGAAGAAAAAGCCATTAGAACCAATGAAGAAGTCTTTGGAGCATTGAAAGAGGGTTGTGGGGAGTTTGATCCATTCATTGGCTTCTGGGTCAAAAGCGAAGGCCTGGTTGTTCTTGAGGAAAATGTTGTTTTGGCCATAGAGGAAGAACCACGGCTTTTTGCTGGCCGAGACTCGAGTGGAGAAGGAAGAAGATATGATGATTGAGTTCCAGAGCTTGCAGACTGAAGCGGCACGGACAATGGAGCGGATTGGGAGGTGGGAGAGAATCAACTCTGTCAGATCTGAACCCAGATAGTCCCAGTTGAAGGAATTGGGTTCGGAATTGAGTTCTTTGGAGGAATTGGATTTTTCCATGGTAGAATCATCAATTCAATCCACGAGCGAGAGAGAGTTGAGCGGTTGTTGAGGGAGTTGAGAGGGTTGTTATTGGTAGTGAGAGCGGATGGTGCGACGAAAGGGGGGAGAGAGAAATGTGTGATGGCGGAGAGAGAGAGGAATTCTTGTTGACCTCTGCCTGATGACCGTACCAGGGGTGAAGATTACACAGAATCAGTGGTGGACCGGAGACTTCGACTCTTTCAAGGTTGCCAATCCATATGGATATGGATTTCGTATCCAAACAATGTTATTTTAAGGTTTGTATATAGAATCTTAATCAACTCTAAACTTGGTATATTGCATAAATTATTTAAGAAAATGATACTTGGATTTAAAATAGTGACTTAATTTGCTCACTTGATTGATCATAATTTTTGAATAAATAGTGAATCTTAATAAATATTGGAACCAACAATAATACCGACCGATCAAGTTAACAAATTAAATCAACATTCTAAATCCAAGTAGTATTGTTCAATTATNTTGATCATAATTTTTGAATAAATAGTGAATCTTAATAAATATTGAGATCAACAATAATACCGACTGATCAAGTTAACAAATTAAATCAACATTCTAAATCCAAGTAGTATTGTTCAATTATTTAAAATGATTCGGTAGTTCATTTGTTTAGTGAACTAGAGGAGCATTAGTAATTGTCTGTACCTGAAGGCACAAAATAAAAAAAAATATTCACCACTTAAGCGCAAATATTTTTTACCAAACAAAGGGTGCAGTAAAAATAGAGACAAATTAAAAAATCATCTATAAACATAAATTAAAAAGAAAATTTTATTAACAATAAAAATTACAACTCAGTCTAAAATGACATGTCTTAAAATTTGCTTGTCAATAATAACGTNAAATTTTACCTATAAGCGCAAATATTTTTTACCAAACAAAGGGTGCAGTAAAAATAGAGACAAATTAAAAAATCATCTATAAACATAAATTAAAAAGAAAATTTTATTAACAATAAAAATTACAACTCAGTCTAAAATGACATGTCTTAAAATTTGCTTGTCAATAGTAACGTAGCAATTAAAAACTACAAAAATAAAATGAATATCAAACAACTATACATTAAAATGGACTTGAATGCATGTCCAAACTCATGCTAATAGTGGACACGGTCACTAGTGTCTTCTTTTGATATGAAAAAAGAATGTAAGATAAAGTTATTTCTCAAATAGAGAAATGGCTCTATATCTGTGTACATGTAGAACAACAATTATAGGGTTCAATAGAGAGTAAGTAAATCAATAAAAGAGATAATACTTCTACCTAATATGTCCAACATCCCAAAAAAAAAGTTATTTTGCAAGAAAGTCCTATGTTAACATAATAATTTGCCTGAAAGGTGTTGCTTACCTTCCTTGACTTCTCATGACAGCAACTTTTTTTCTATTCAGTCCTTTCCCTAGAAATTGGGAATGTTTCGTGGAGGCATTATTTGGGAATAGCCTCCATGAGGCATGGCCATCATTTGGCATCAAGATTCTCGGGCATTAGCTAATCTGAAGCAACAATAATGCAACAGATTAACAGTCTCAAATAATCATCCAAATATTTTTTGTAACCAAAAACTATGAAGTTTACATCTACGACCATACCATGAAATCACGCCTTGACAAACTAATTACTTTTCCTATTGCTACTTTAAGCTCCACTACAATAACATTTCTCGAAACGCAAAAACCTACACATTCAACTAAAATAATTTCAAACATGATTCAAGAGCTAAGAACACGAACAACTCCCTATGGAAAATCCCATGAAGCACACTCAACTATGCAATGTAAACAATAAATCCGTAGGTGTTTGAATATAAAACACACCCAAGCTCAGAAAAAAAATATTTTATACCCAAATAGCATCATTTAGGGATAAGTTTGGACATACACATGGAATCCATTCGTGCACATAGAATCTAGACCTAACAACAGTTCTGCAGTTCTACCGATTACCATCCAATATGAGACATAGTCATTGCCATAATCAACGCAACTCTTCACACAAAAAATTACCATGTGCAGACTGCTCAACGAAATAATTCCTTGGAAAGAACAAAAATTTTACTTGAAATTACCTCACAAATTCAATCAATTCATTGCGTTCTTGACTGCTGCTACAACCATGGGGAGNATCATCCAATATGAGACATAGTCATTGCCACAACCAACGCAACTCTGCACACAAAAAATTACCATGTACAGACTGCTCGACAAAATAATTCCTTGGAAAGAACAAAAATTTTACTTGAAATTTCCTCACAAATTCAATCAATTCATTGCGTTCTTGACTGCTGCTACAACCATGGGGAGTCCATAGATTTGTCAAACAGATTCATCACTAATCCTTTATCACATTCATTAGTTCCCATAGCTTAAAACTGGTTGACTCGAACGCCATTACTTTTCTTCGATTATGAATTTGGTTGAATTGTATTTTATTGAAATGGGTGCCACTAAGAAAAAATTGAAAAACAAAAATGAAGTGAAGAAAAAATAGCGAGCAGATTTTCATGCCCAATGAGAGATTCTGCCTCTATTGGCCATAAACTAATCAAGGGTAGGCCATATAAGTCAAAGCAAAAAGGAAAATACCATAAACTATAAGGGAACGCAATAACTTTTCTTCATTCCCATTTCAATAAAATACAATTCAACCAAATTAGATTATGAAATAATGAGTGCCACTAAGAAAAATTGAAAAACAAAAATGAAGTGAATAAAGAATATCAAGCAGATTTGCATGCCCAATGGGAGATTTTGCCATTATCTTCACCTAACCCCTTCTATTGGCCATAAACTAATCGAGGGTAGGCCATTATAAATCAAAGCGAAAAGGAAAATGCCATAAACTATAAGGGAACGCAATGACTTTTCTTCATACCCATTTCAATAAAATACAATTCAACCAAATTAGATTATTAAATAATGAGTGCCACTAAAAAAAATTGAAAAACAAAAATGAAGTGAAGAAAGAAAGAATAGCGAGCAGATTTTCATACCCAATGGGAGATTTTGCCATTATCTTCACCCAACACCTTCTATTGGTCCTTAAGTAATCAAGCGTAGGCCATTATAAGTCAAAGCAAAAAGCAAAATGCCATAAACTATAATGCAACGCAATGACTATTCTTCATACCCATTTCAATAAAATACAATTCAACCAAATTATATTATTAAATAATGAGTGTCACTAAGAAAAAATTGAAAAACAAAAATGAAGCGAAGAAAGAATAGAATGGCAGATTTTGTCATTATCTTCACCCAACCCTTTCTATCAATCATAAACTAATCAAGGGTAGGCCATTATAAGTCAAAGCAAAAAGGAAAATGCCGTAAACTACAAGGGACCTTTCTTCGTAGATTCATGCACATAAAATACATAGCTGAAACATAAACAATAGAACATAAGAGAAATTACCTTCTCAGACCAATCTGCAACATTGCAAAATAGTCCACCAAAGGAGTCGAAATTTTAGACTTTTTAAGGTTTAGGATGATGATTGACAAACTTAACCACGCAACAAAATAGAGATGCTCCATACCAAAATTAACCTAAACAAATAAAATCAAAAAAACCTATAACCAAAGGAAGATAAAGTAATTACAAAATTTGCACCAAATCAAAGCTAAAGTAAATACAAATTTCACATCAAATCAAACCTATTTACAAAACTCACATTAAAAAGAACCTAATCAAACCGAATTCAAATTTAACCTACCCTAACTGAGTTCTCAAAATTGAAGAAACTGTTTGGGTGTGTTATGCGGGTGTGTGCATTGATAGAAAAACAGAAGGTTTGGGGTAAAGGTCAGAGTGAGGGGTGTGTGTGTTATGTGTTTAGGTATGTGTGTGTGTTCTGTTATGTGTGTGAGTGTTTTGTGCATGCGTGTGTTTCTGTGAATGGGTGGGTGGGTTTTTTGGTAGGAGTCGGTGGGTGGGATTTGCAAATGGGGTAGGGGTGAGGGGTTGCACAGTAGGGGGAAGATCTAGGGGGTTCTAGAAGGGGAAGAGTTTTTGCGTGGGGGAGTTAGCAGAGAGATTTTTTTTTGGCAAGCGGGGAGGGTGGTTTGCAAGCGTGTGTGTGTGTGTGTGGAGAGAGAAAGAAGCAAAGAAAATGGAGAAATAGTTGAGTTGGGGCGCTTGTGGTAGTTGGAGATGTCGGTGTTGTTCTGTTCTGTGGCAATGGCTGGGGGATATTAGAGAGAGAGAGAGAGGGGGGGGCGGAAGAAATGGGGTTAGAGGGCATGGCCTCTGAGTGTCTGACAGACCAAATGACAGTTGTGAGGATGGTATAGATTTAGCGAGAAAAAATGTGCCCCTGATAAAATTTAATTTGCTAGCTGAATTATTATATAGATGGAAGAATCACCAAAATCCTAACATTCAATTTCAAAACTATAGCATTCAATCAAAATAATCCTAACAACTCTAACATTCATAAAAATAACTCTAACAAACCTTTCAATCAAAACACTACAACCGTTATTTCATAAATGTATGAAAGTACCGCCTTTTTTATGCACCAATCATATTATTGAATCTCATACCAATGAGCAAACTCAAGCAACACGTAGACCTAATTTGACAACTTAAACGCCATAGACTATCTCAATACACCAAACCCATCATATGTAAGAAAAGATGAAATCATATCAAATTCAATAGAGCAATTCAAAATACAAAAAAACTATGAAGAAATTACATTTAAATGTCGGCCTACCTAATGCAAGCATCAATAGTCTATCACATCCCAATTTCACCAAACCAAGAAATTAATTAAGTTATGAACAAATTTAGAAAGAGAACTCCTTCCCATAAATCAGAAAAACATAATACAAAGCAAAAAAAACTTGTGAATTCTGCATAGTAATACCTGAGTACCAATAGTACAATCAAGTTCAATTATATCCACGACACACACATAATTATATATATGCATATACAAATCCAACCAATAATTCCAGATGCTTGCAATTCAACTGATATCCAATTCAGCCCCATTGATAAGAGTTGTCTACAACAAAAGCCCAAAGTTTTGGAGAATGGTCCCTAAGTTCTTATGTTCAATCTATTCCATTTTCTTTTTTTAGTGATCATATAATTCCAATTGTAGAATCATTTAATTGCTATATTTCTTACATTCCACTCCAATTGAAGAACCTATTTAGTTACTGTATTTCTTACAGCAAACTAGTGCTTGGATATCTCCTTGTAGCAATCTGGTACTTGGAACCTTGGTCATTTGATAATTCAGGAATTGTGGCCATTTCTGTTCATATGAGGCACAACTCATTCCTTAGATAATGAGTTAGGCATCATGTTTGGTAGGATGATTGGACAAAATCACAAACATAGCCAAAACCCCTCAAGTATGCAATTTCAACTGCAAAAATGCTGAAGCATATATTAAAGAGCATTGTGCACACTTTGCTTAAAGTGAAGTAGCTAGTATGAGAAGAGTAAATGGTCTTCCATGTCAGTCGACATTCTTCCCCAAAAGTGCTGTGGAGAACATTCTGAAATATCTTGCCCACCATGACTCAAGTCTGGTAGCTCCCTGCTCATATCATTTTCAGCAATTTTGTTCGAAGAGTCCTGCATGCACATTTTAAAATTATTTACAACCAATTATAATACACTGCATTTATAACATTGTCTTAATTCTTTAAATGCAATACCTGAGATAGATGTAACATCTGATCATTACGCTGAAGTATGGTAGCAAAATTGGAGGTAGGATTAACTAAAGACCAATGTGAATTGAAATCTTATGTATCAATTAGTCAAATAGTTAATACAATAATATGACATGTAAGACAACATATGAATTTGAAATTTTAAAAACCTATGTATTTTTGGGCAAGTTTGCAATACTCGAGGATGCAACAATCGATGGAGTTATTTGCATTATTATATAACCTCATAAAACACATGAAAAAAAAAAAGAATATTAATTAAGATAATAAAAATTACAAAAACAATATACTTGATTATGAAAGTTAACATGTTGGGGCATGCCAGGTGAATGGACTGGTGGGTGAAAAGCTGGTGGATTACATGAAACCCCGTCATTATAAAGTGGTCTACTTTTTCCTTTGTTAAAAACAGAAAAAGAAATGTAAGATGATTAAAACCAATAGCTTATATCAATAGCAATCTAACACAAAAAGATTTCTGACTTGGTTCAAAACCGATGGATTGAGAACATGTGTAACCTCCACTCTTCCTTCGCTTCTTCTTCTCCAAATAGCTTTTCTTGCGAGCATTTGTGACTCCTTTTTCTTTCACACATGGAGGGTCTAACACCAATGTTCCACGTGCACAATCATTACCCAACGTATCACCATTGTTCCTTGGATTGCTAATGTCCACGAGTCTTTTGGCTTCTTCCCACAATTCTGTCACTTTCATATTTGCCATCTTCTTTCCTTCATCTGTCACGACTAAATGACTAATAGCGCGACAAGCAACTACACTAAATAATTTCTTTCAATTGTCAATGATGATTTTCTCTTTTTGGAGGACTCTCCACACTCCTGGACTGGATTTTGTTTCCTAGCAAATTTCGTCCATCTGACCAATATGTACTTAGCTGGAACCTTAATGATACTCCACATATTTAATGCTTTAAGTGCATGCCGACATAACCAACCCTTCAACTCGAACATCTTACAAGAATAGACAACATTGTAAGTTGACAAATTAAATTCCACGGTGCAATGCCTGTCTTGGCTTTCTGCACTCGAGTCATAAATATAAAGTTGGCCATCACAGAACAAAAGTTCTAAATGTATAGTCAAACTAGAAACAAATTCGTTGGCAAACAAGTTATAAAAAGTAATTGCGTACAAGGTAGCTGCTTGCATCAATATTTTACTATCTTGAACATGCAATTGTGGAGTACCATGTTTGCAATGATAATCTTATTGTCTTTCAGCTAATCGCATTTTTTCACATTGCTCTTCGTAGTGATGCAAAAATTCCATCAAGTTCATAGTTTTGCAAGACATCTGATGAAGAACATTATTTATGCTTTTGCTTCTCGAAGTGGCTTTTATGCGAAGAGTGAAAATATCCATGCTAAAATCTAGGCACCATTTTTCTCTCACTTTGTAGATCATCTGAAAGCCATTTGTTGCTAGTAAGATCAAATCTTTTAATCATTTCATCTCAAGTTTACTCAAATTCTGTCTCTATTTCACAATCATTTAAGCACCTCAAAAATAAGCCTCTAAACCCAAAATTTGAGTACAACCCACAAGTTTTTGGGTNTGACTCAAATTCTGTCTCTGTTTCACAATCATTTAAGCACCTCAAAAATAAGCCTCTAAACCCAAAATTTGAGTACAACCCACAAGTTTTTGGGTGACTTTTTTTGAAATGTGCCATAAACACAGACAACGACAAGTATCAGGAAATACTTTCTGAATAGCATTAGCCATTGTCTGACATTGATCATTGAATATAGTCTTTGGGCCCTTGAAACTCATTGCTTCTAAAAATGTCTCAAACAACTAAATAAATGTATCGGTGGTCTCGTCTAAGAGAAAGGAACAAGAAAATAATATATTCTTCCTATGATGGTTGATGCCAACGAAGGAGCAAATATCATATTATACTTATTTGTTATGTATGTGGTATCAAATATCACAAACATCACCAAAGCAATCATAATCCAATTTTGATCGTCTATCTCTCCAAAAGAAATTTTCTTGTCGACTATCCTCATCCAATTCCGCTAAGTGATAAAACATAGTGTCATCGATAAGACAAAATTTGAAATGAGCCAATACACTTTGAGCATCCCCCTTCTCAATCAAATTTACTTTTCTTCTATTTATAAAATTCTGACAATCTCGTTGTGTGAATCCAACATTCTCAGCACCACCAACTTCTTTTGCCAAATACGAATATGTCTTTGTCCCTCTAATACCCTTGTCAACCAAGGAATTATTGACACTGGCATTAGCAACATTTATGTGCCTATTTACTTTTAAAAACTGTTGGTCTTCAAGTGCAACAAACTTATGGTTATGAATGTCATTAACCTCCCAAGCCCCATCTCTAACAGTAAACCTAATAAAGGCACCGCAATTCGTTCGCNCTTGTCAACCATGGAATTATTGACACTGGCATTAGCAACATTTATGTGCCTATTTACTTTTAAAAATTGTTGGTCTTCAAGTGCAACAAACTTATGGTTATGAATGTCATTAACCTCCCAAGCCCCATCTCTAACAGTAAACCTAATAAAGGCACCGCAATTCGTTCGCTTCACCACTCTGTTGATTTTTTTTGGTTCAGAATGATCACAATCAATATGAATGCTTGAATTTGAGCACAAGTAATCTCGCTGCCGAATAGTTCTATTAGCACCATACCGGACATATCCTTTTTGAACATCAAAACCCTTTTTTACGCATATTGACAATAAAGTCTATATGCTTCTTCTTTGCTTCGAATTCTAATNATTCTGTTGATTTTTTTTGGTTTAGAACGATCACAATCAATATGAATGCTTGAATTTGAGCACAAGTAATCTCGCTGCCGAATAGTTCTATTAGCACCATACCGGACATATCCTTTTTGAACATCAAAACCCTTTTTTACGCATATTGACAATAAAGTCTATATGCTTCTTCTTTGCTATAAACTTTAATTCCAATTCTAATCCCACCATAATCTTCATCATTATCATCAATGTTAATAACTGTTTTGACCAATAAATAAAATGTCAAAAAATCCAAAAGGACTATATTATAGTATATTGGAACGTAAAGATGGTATAATTGTACATATGAAGGCACCAACTATCATTTCATATCCATTTAGNTTTACGCATATTGACAATAAAGTCTATATGCTTCTTCTTTGCTTCGAATTCTAATCCCACCATAATCTTCATCATTATCATCAATGTTAATAACTGTTTTGACCAATAAATAAAATGTCAAAAAATCCAAAAGGACTATATTATAGTATATTGGAACGTAAAGATGGTATAATTGTACATATGAAGGCACCAACTATCATTTCATATCCATTTAGAAGTTGTCCAATCCACATAAAATGAAAAATAATAATATTAATTATAATAGCACCATAGAATGTCTCATTAAAACACCAATCGTAATTACATAAACGAATAAAGTGGTACCTGTATTGACATTCTCATGTTCAGATATTTGCTTTGGTGTTTCATTTTTGTGATAAGTCAAAGGATGTCATTCTTTTTTGTTCCCAAAGAGAAATGAAGGACGTGGCAAATTTTATTGTACCTGCGATCAAATCTTTGAGTAGCACATTGAAATCATAGAGAAAAATTTTAAAACACCCAAAAAAATGAAAAAACATATAAGCATACGGAGAGCTAGAAGGATTCAAAACATAAACAAACAACTCTACACCATCGGCATTGAGACTGCCTTCGAATTCCAAAATTAAAACTATGAATAAATTAGATCAATTTGAGGAAGAATCTGAGTAGAAATAGGGACTAACCCACCTATTGTGTAGAGGTTCAAGAAACTTCACAATATTTTTTTATGCTTCAACTATGCTGCTTGATAAGTTATTGTTTTAGTTGTATTCAAAAGTTCCAGATAGATTAGAAGATGAGGAAGAAGAAGCAGGAGTCACGATCATCACATCATGAGAGTTTAGTGGGGAATAAAATTCATATGCACAACCATACCGAAGAGAGTGAAACCTGAGAAAATACCTGTCATGTAAACAAATAATTTTCTACTCTTCTGTCATGTAAGTCTAAGTAGGGTTCACTTTTCTTATTTGGAATTTTATTATTGATTGATAATATCATATTATCAATAGTGATATGGTATCACCGTTGCATTCTATATTTACCCGTGAAATCTGGAGAGTTAACGGTGTTAATGAAGACCGTTGCATTTTTTATTTTGTAACTGACGTGGCATATTTTATGAGGAGGATGATGTCAGTTGTTAAAATGGTAAAATTTGGTTGGTTTGTTATACCATATCAGCGAAGTGACGTGGTATAACCATTGTAACCAATATTTTTTCCTGACAGAGAATGATGGACGATGGGATGGATTTTTGAGAAAAAATGTGTTGAGAATAAAATTTTAAAGTGTTAACTTGTTTATTATATAGATTATGGTCCGTATCAAAATTTATTATTTTTTAATGTTAAATTATAATTTTTTGAGATAAATTTTATAACTATAAAAGATATAATCAATATTAAAATATTATGATCGATTATGAAATTATAATTTTTAAATATAAATTTACAATTTTTAAAAGTTAAAGTAACAATTTTAATTAGGGATATTTATGACCGATCACATTATTTCATTATCGATAATTAATTACCTCAAGTAATTATAATTTTACTTTTTAAAATATATAAATTGACTTTAAAAAATAATATTTTTTTATACAGTACCAAATATTTTTTTTAAAACCTTAGAATTACCTAGTGAAATAACTCAACTATAATAAACATAGCTACGGGACTGAGGTAAAAAAGATAAATTAAAAAAAAATAAACAAATTACATATTTATATTTTTATTAGACGAAAAGTGAAAATATAAATAGTTGGAGCTCTAATAAATACTCCATTTTATGAGTTGTATCATTAATGCTGCCATGGTATTATCATTACATTAAATATTTTTTTTGGCACATAATTTTATTTCTTTTGCATGTTCTGGATCAGATGGTTTCTGGCCAATTTTCAGAGGGAATGGATATACCAATAAGAATGAAGAGAGGTGTAGTGATATTAAACAACAATCACTAAGAATAATGCATAAACATGGTCTTTTACTACATTATTTTTGTGATGTGTAATTTTGTTGGAATCTAAGATTTAGGTAGGAAGGATGCGAAGTAAAAGGAATACATTTTTTATTATTCAAGGATGGAAGAATGATACATTTTTCTTCTTTTGTGTTTGGGTGGATGGATGGAAAAAAAAATAATCCTTCTTTAAATAGATAGATATAGGATCTATGGGATAATTACTTAGAAGTACATTTTGCGCTACAACCCTACTTATTTAATAGAAAAGGATCTCATAATCGTGAACCGATCTTACCTGGAATTGCAAATCCCAAGTTGGGCGCTTTAACCATTCAACCATGGATGCTTAGCGGGGATACTCGTACATGGTGAATAACCATATTCCAATTGAAATAAAATCTTTAGAATAAATCAATGCAATTTAGGAGGAATCAATGAAAGGACATCAATTCAAATCCTGGATTTTCGAATTGAGAGAGATATTGGCTAAAATTAGGGTCAACAATCGAGTCGTGTCAGATTCGTGTTGAGTCATAGAATTATAAGTTTTTTATATTTCTTATTCGCGTGTTTAGGTAATTTTCAAATTCGTGTCGAGTTATAATCAAGTTTGTGTTATAAAATTTGTGTT